TTTTTTTTGCAAAAATTTAATTGCAAAACTTTCAAATAGTCAATTTGGAAGTTTTGCAATTAAATTACAAAGTAGACATTATTCGACTGGACATGAAATGCACAGAAATATATGTTTATCAAGAGAAATAATATCAAAATTAGTTTCGTAACATTTGCTATCAATTTAATTTAATTTTTAAACTTTAAAATAATATATTTACTGAACATTTCAATTCAAATTCATACACTCTTGTGCGATTTCAATTTTTTTTCAACTCTTTCACCCCTAAATGGATAGAGGAAAAAAAATTGAATGATTAGCTTATATTGAATATTCATTTTGCTCATTATCACTAAGGAAAATAGCTAGTGTTAGTTATCAATTATAATCATGAATTTGACGAGAAATAATGAATAATTAGAATATGATAGTACAAAAATTTTTTCATAAACTTTTTTCTTATTCATATAGATTACACAATGATTGTAATAATTTAAACCGACAATAGCACTGCACTTTTCAGGAAAATCAGTTAGCAGCTATTAGATATTGATGAAACATATTTCAAAAAAACTGCTCAGAAAGTGCAGTAATATTGAAATTGGTTCATTGAATGAATTCAAGTATTTTTAATTTTGTTGAAAAGATAAAATTAAATATTGAAATTTACAACCGTATTGGTATCATGATTATAATTGTAAACAATAAACAGCATTACATTGGGCATAGTTCATACAAAACGGAGCACATGCATTAAGTTTCCCGGGAAAATATGACTGAGATATCCTAAATCAAATTTTTAAGATGCTATCTGTCGGTTTTAATATTGATCCCCTCGGATAGCATAGCAAGTTAACATTTGTGAATTATAAAATAATTTGACAGTGTTTAAATTTGAATTACTTTTTTAGATAGATTAAAATTTGGTGTTGTTTTTCTATCACAGTGCAATTAAAACCGTATTGCTGCCTAACTGCTACAACAATAAAATATTATTTGATTAATTTTATTTATATAATAAATAGGGCATATATATGAACTTAACGGCATACAAATGTTTTTTTTTTAATATTTTAGATCAGTAACTTAAAATTTTTACTTTTTTTTGCTAGCTTCTTTTCAAATTTTTATAATAACTGCAAATGCAAACGATAAAGACAGAAAATTCTTAAATGAAATACCATTTCTGAAATTTTCCACTAACAATATTTGACATCGGCTTGTTGTCGGGAAATCCGAAAAATTTGTGATATAAAAAAGAATTTTTACATTTTTTTCACATTATTTTTTTTCACAAAGTTTTTATTTGAATTGAATGATATTGAGTGATAACGCCTAAGGACCATCATGAATGACGTCGCAATATCAGTGATTGAGGATTACCGCGAAGTGACATTATCAGTTATCAAAAGTTAGCACGAATTCATTCATTGATAAACGATCGATGTCGTCAAAAGTTATTAAATATAACCGATTGTATTTTTTATTTACGTAAATGTTTTAGTTTTTGTCAGTTTTTTCATACAATTTATTTGGCTCATACTGATCCCATTAAAAATTTTAAATAAAGTTTTATTGCATAAATAATGGAATGTGTTTACAATTCAGTAAATATTTGCTAATATAGTTGGCTAGCAAATGAAAAGAGATGGAAAAAACAATAAAATGCTTCAAAAAAGGAATATTAAATTGAAACAATGAATATTGTTCAAAAGTGTTGATTTTCCATAAAATTTCATTAATCCACTTTACATTCAATCAGGAAACAGTGAACGAAGCATAAACAGCAACATAAATAGT